CTTCGACTATGACAAGAGTTTATAATGCTTCACCCTTGCAATCTCGCATTTTTTGTTGTATTACGGTTCAATAAAAAGTTTATTCTATTTTACTTATCTCATTTTTTGAAGTTGCAATATTTTTTTTACGATTAATATTTTTTTTTAAGATTTAAACTGTTTTTTTATGCGCTTTTATTGCTTCAAATGTATCGCCAATAATTATAGATAATAATGATTTGATATTAAATGATATATTTAATCAATTTGATCAATTTAAAATTATAGAATCCGAATCAAAAAACAATTCAAGTTACCTACAAGCTCTTTTATTTATTATTTTCTTTTTATATAATTTTTACGCTATATACTATTGCTAATTTGTATCTTAATGAGAAACCAATATTCCTTTTTGAAATTTCAGAAAACCATTTGTCCTTTAATAACTTGAGTCTCAAGTTCTTTAATTTCTACATGCTCCTAGTTCAAACGGGACAATACTTCTATGGGCAATTCATATGTAAAGCTATCTTGATTCCTAGATATCGGTAATGAAGTTGATTATATACAAATTTCAATGAAGATTTGTTAACTCCAAAGTCATTCAATATTTTCTTAATGCTACTAAAAAATTGTCTTTTTTTTGGCGTAAAATGCGTAAAATGGATCGTCAAATTAATGAAAAAAAAAAAAGTTAATTTTTTTACTAATGTAAAAATCTTGAATTGATATTTATTTATTGTGAAATCTCTTACTTGAAATAAAGAGTTTTTGAAGATAAATTTTTTTTTATGCAAACAATCATCGATCGGGAATTGTGGTTAAAAAAATCGCTTGTTGTACATCGACATCTGCCAACGTATTCGCATATTATTTCCATTTAATAACAATACGTTAATGCTAGGAAGCATCATCACAAAGTAGTTGCGAGAATCAAAGGTGAAGATATCTCAGTCGCGTATTTCTTTATTTCTTTATCAACAAGTTGTTAGACAATCGTTTATGCAAAAGGAATGCGGTACTGTCCTCGCCTAATATTTATACTAAAAGTCCAATTAGAATGCGATAATAGCTCTAAAGAGTTTAAATTACCTTGAGACGACTTTATTGTCAATCACAAAGCGTTCTTGCTGGTAATTATTTTCCAGGAGATAAAAAGTTTCGCGACGAATATTAACCATTTCAAATCAACCTGTATTTCCGCCTTTGTTTGACGTGATATAAACACACAAACTTGTTGAAAATCCACTTTAATGTTTTTGTGGATTTATGTTTCATCATTTCAAACGTTTTCATAAAATGATCTCCAACTCTCTTTCTGTGGGGTTTTAGCTATGTATGCTGAATCATCATAATCATATTAGAGGAAGATGAAGGTCCACTTTGTTCATACCATAACTCTCCAATGTTCATTATCATTCCGCAAACTGAATCAATATGTAATTGTCTTTTGTTTTATTATAAATATAACATCAAACATCTTCAGTTCAAGAATCGAATTCTAATATAATAAAGGATCAAGGAATAAAGAAATTATGAAAAATAGTACTCTACTGAATCACGAATCACGGTGTTCCTCGACTACCGAAACTAACGAAGCGTTTCTCCGTTTCTTTGTAGTTTCAATTTAATTTATACACACTATTACGAGGATCGAAATAATAAATTTGATCTGATAGAATCATAAGAAAACATGCATTATCTTACAATTTTTTGAATTATTATTATATATTTTATTTTTGTTTGTTCCATGGATTTCTTCCTGCGACACAAGATACAGATACCACCAAAATACAATAATATTTTGTACGGTACTAAGAAGCCGTCTATGTTACTCTAAATATTATTTTGAGCATTTTTTTTTTTTTTTCTTTAAAGAAAAAAAAATTATATTAGGGGAGGGGGTTTTTTTTTTATTTAAATTAAACTCGGGGAATTCAATTTTTTTTTTTTACATCTAAACAAACAATTTGATTAAAGTACAAAGACATTAAGTAAAATATTGTAAAGCGAATTATATTTTGTTTTCCCATCACAAAGCCCTCCAAGTTTTGTAAATACATGACATGACAAAATTTTTTCACAAAAAATTAAATTAATTTGTTTTTCACAAAAAAAAGAATACATGATAAATGATTATCAACGTGTTAACGTATGAGGAGCTAATCTTATTTGTGCGGGTACGCAAATAGAAGCAACAGGGTATAAAAAATCTTGTAGGTCGTCCCATTCTGTAATTGCTCGATATCTTGTTCCATTAACTGTAAAGGAACAATTTTTGTTGGTTTTACTCATGTCAACATGAACCGTGATTATACTATTATCTCCAAATGGAGGGCAATAGTTTTTTATAATGGTTCCTGAATGAAATAATTCACCTGATGAACCCAAAACCCATGCAGTCTCCTGTTCCCCTGCAAATTTTTCAAAATCCAAACCTTCAGAAGTGCAAACCCCAATAAATGCGAAGGTACAACTTTGTTCGATTATGATATCCCATTCAAAAATGGTTTCAACGTTTAGTTTCATACTTGTTCTAACACACTGATGTTGACCATCGTTATCGTTGATTTTTGCGACTTTCCCTTGTTCCTCGATTAGAATGTCGCTTCCACTTGTTGATTCATCCCAAAAATAATCATTTTCATCAAAATGATATCTAATTGGCGGAGTCCCACGAATGATATTCAAATCATTATTATTACATAACTGCAACTTTACTTTCCTTCGATATGCCTCGAAAAATAATTTTGGTTCAACGATATTTAATGGTTCGATTATATTAGTCAACTCTATTCCTCTAATTAGTCCAAAATCAATATATCTTGCCAAACTTTCTAATTCCCTTGCAATTTCTTGCTTAGGCAAGAAAATTTCATCCTCGTCATTCGTCATCAAATCATCCTTGTCGTCTAACATGGGCAAACGTTTTGAAATATAGGCGGTAGCTTCATCAGACACTTGCATTGCAGACAATATAGCACTATATCGAAAGATTTCATATTCATTCGTCAATATTTTATTATTTGGTCTCCCATGTGTTCTCGATAAAAGACATCGAAGTGCATCTATAGATAATCTACCAAATTCAATAGTATTTAATGGAATGAGAGAGACGGTCTCAATCAATAAGTTGATTAATTCATCCTCACCGTTCGAATAATTATCAATAACTTTAGATAACAATTCTGGTGAGTAATTATCATGCGGGTCCCTTTCTAAAATATTTTTAGCGTGTCTTAAAACCTCATTCTGCAAGTCGGAAATTTCGAAATAATCCGCAGCATAAAAAGCTTCTACAATATTTTCCTTTGATAAGGATTCTTCATTGATAGTTCCTGTATAAATAAACTCAAATATAACTCTCATTCCAAAAGAGTTAACTTCTCCAATATTGATGATTCTTTGAGAACTTTCCATCATTCCATTATAAAGTAATTTGTCGAATACGTTGGACCTGGCTGCCAAAATTGCTCTACATCCGTATATTGTAACATCGTCATTACATTTAATTTCTACATCGCTATACTTTTCATTATTGATTAGATGTTTTAAGTCTTCTTGTAAAGAATGACCTTTTATCATTTTTATTTTATTTTTTTTTTTTTGAAAAAAAATTTGAAGAAAAAAAGAGGCGCGAGAGAGTGTAACTTTAATTAAAAAAGGTTACATAAGAATGTTATAATATATTAACATTCTCGTGAAAAAGTACTCGTGTAACGTTAGTGACGCAAATACTCTAAGTAGTGAAATGGGAGAATTAACAAATTTGGTTAAATGTAATTCACAAAATTAAGCCATTTAAGGCGTTTAACCGTATTTGGGGTTGGGGGCTTAGATTCCCAATCTTCCTCGATCAACACCAACCAAATTGCAGTAGATTAGGGTTGTTTTTTCTTTTCTTTTTTATATGATTAAGAACAAATAGTCAACCTTAATCAATTTACAATAAAAAATATAAACCATGAAAATTTTTACAAAATAAATTACAATTTTATTAATATTCTAAACTTCTCTTCTCTTTCAGGGATACAAAAAGTGAATATTTCTCGAGTTTTGCAACTCGTTTTTTTTTTTTTTTTTTTTTGATATGGGTTGATTTCAAAAAATTTCAAAAAAAAAAAAAAAAAAATTTTAAATAGATTTTTAATTTTTTATCAATCTCTCAAAATGACATAATGATCAAAAAGAGTGATTTGAAGTGATAAAAATTAGCCCTTTAAATTGAAAAACTTTTTCGGAAGGTACTGCTGTTCATTTCACATGCGATTAAAGTAAGTCGCGCATCATTAACCGTCGTCTTTCTGTTACACAAGTGATTCGGAAAGGACAGGAAATTACGATCTGCGAATGAGAGTTTTTAATAATAAATTCCAATGTAAAGTTGAAATAAATTGAGGCAATCTAACATTGATGATGGAAATTGAATTTTTCAAATCTTGAGGAGGGGTATTTCCGAACAATTTAACTTTATTAATATGCATTATAATAAAAGATAATGTCGATAACACATAAACCACAGCTGCGTCATAATACCTCAATATCGTATTTAATCATGAGGAAATTTTTCGTAAGATTTTCATTTATTCGTTGATGTCGAGTGAATTTTAAAATCCAGTCTCTTATGGTTCATTTCTTTCTCTTGTATAAAGTAATTTTAAAAAATGAATTTTTAAGTGAATCAAACATATTATGGGAGTGGTCTTTACGCTACCAAAATCCACTTCGATTTCGAAAATTTGAATTGAACAAAATTTCGTTGGTTCCGGTAAACTCTCTGAACACGCCATTATTTTTTCTACAATGAAACGGCTTGGTTCTTTCTGTCACTATCTATCAATTTATTTTCTTTCATTTTCTCTAAGATTGCGATCAATTGGAGAAATGTTTCTCAAAAATAAATAAATAAATAATCGATTCAAAAAACTTTTTCTCAATCGTCACCCTTTTATTTTTTTTTTATTTTACAAAAAAATCAAGTCTATTTATATATCATATTAACAAATACTTCAAATTAACTATCAATTGTAATCTAATTTTGCAACGAGTTCATTATAACTTTTAACCTTAACACTTGATCCAATCTCCTTGAACTTTTTCTCCAAATAATTATTATAATACAACATATCAGGAAAAATACCAATAACATCACTTTCATACGTCAAATATTCCAAACATTTTGTTTCTGCCACAAATTCCGTTAAAATATCTAAAATTTCTTCCGTATCCTTTTGATTCTTTGTCCGAATCAACAATTTCGTGAAATGAACCTCCTTACACATTTCTAAAAATTCTCGTAGATCATTAGGATCAATAATGATCAAATAAATATTCAAATATATCAATTGTTTTGGTAATATATCACCTAAAGATCTCAATAATTCCGAATTAATATCTAGGGAATCCTTTTTAATTTCATCACATCCTGCATATATCCAATTGCATCTTATAACCTCCAAAGTTAAATATCTAATGGATTTACTGAGAAATTTTACGACCTTTAACACGGAAGAAATATTTTTATGTGAAATGTTTGCCAAATGTAAGAAATCAATCCTTTCACAATAATCCAAGATCGCTTCGGGTATATCATTGGATCTAAACCCGTTAAGAGACAAAACCAAATTTCGTATCGTTTTCCCAAATTTTTGAACGAATAGATGTGATATCGGATTATTAAGTTCTAATATTCTATAATACCTATACGTGTAAAGGAATGTGAAGGATTTGATCTTAATTGGCGTGGTTAAGTTGACGATAAATGAATGAACCACCATCTCATTCAATGAGATACAATTGATAAAATGTAGTGATTCAAGATTTATGAGACATCCAAGCCCTTCGAGTGATGAAACATCTTTAAAATTGCATCCATCAAAGGTGATCGAGGTTAAAGAAGGCGAACAACTTTTCAAAAATATTAATGAACTAAATATGTCCATATTAATTTGTTTAAATGAAATTTTAGATAGTTGAGTTTGTGATTTAATTAAATGTGCGATATCCGCTGCGAGGTATTTATCGTCAACTGTTATGAGTTGTAAAGTTAAATATTTGATGGAAGTGCAAAAATATGGTAAATAGGTGAAAAATTGCCTGATCTTCGATAGATTTGGCATCTGTATAATATCTGATAATATGTAATTGAAATTAATCTTTAAATCCTCGGTTTTGAAAAAAAGTTTGGAATTATTCAAGAATAATTCACAGATATTGGCCAATGATTCCCTTCCAAACGCTTGTTGAAGAATTACCTCAAAAGTGTTTAAAGATGCGTTCTTTACAACAAATAATTTTAATAAAGCGATGTAAATAAATATCGTCGATTTGTTTAAAATCATCACTTCCGCATCCGGTAAATATCCTATCGATTCTGGTAAGAGAGCATTTCGCCTTCTGTTGGCGTATGAAAGCATATTTTGTTGCGTTATCTGATTCCTGCTATTTAACATTAAATTTGGTAATGCATTCCTACGAGCGAGTCGAACGTTTGAAATCGTTGTCGCGGGTGACACGTAAGCGGGTAAAGAAGCTTGATTTTGAGGGTAATTGGTAATCGTCGGATAAAATAATTTTTCTCCTCTATTTGTGAATACAGGCATGTATGAGGTATGATGTTCGTATTTTAAGTAGAGACTGGCCCAGAGTTTTATAATGGTTTCCACTTTAGATGTATCAAGGACTTTAATGAAACTTGGATAGTTGAATAAAGGTTTTATTGACGATAATACGTCAATTCTCTCATGACAAAGTCCAAATTCTTTTAAAGTGTTTTTATCTTTTTCGGTTAAAAATGAGAGGTAAATATCAAGAAAGTGAAATTGTTTATTCTTATTAAATTTAAAAGAAAAGGGATCCCCCCACAATATCGGAACGGTTAAACGACACCAAAATCGGTTAACCAAAGTACAAGAATAAAGTGAAAGATGATCATCATGTAGGTTTTGTAATATTCTGCTCGTAAGTTCCGGTATATCACCTGAAAATAGTTTTGAATATGCCATCATAAAAAGAAAAAAAAAAAAAAAAAAAAAAGGTAAAAGAACAGGAAAGAAGAAATCCTTTTTTAACCCGCTTATATGCGAATTGATTGTTGTGCATATCCTTTTATGTATAAATTAAATGACGTTTTTCGGGTAACGATAAATATGATAGATAATGTGCCACGTTTTTCAATTCACGTGATCTAAGAAGAAACATTCATATTAAAAAAAAATTTCGAAAGTTATAATTCGGAACGATATTTCAGTTAATCCAATAAATGAAGTTTTTGTGATTGAATCGATTTATCAGGATTTTGTTAAATTAAATAAAAATCAACGCGTTCCTAAGAAGTGAATGATGGTGGAAAAGAAGGTGACTAAAATGTTTGGAAAGATTGAATAACGATCGGATCATTATGAATTTTATAAAAATAATATTTATTAGTCAATTAAATTAGAAGCAACACCAAAAATTATAAGTGAGTGTAGTACTTGAATTTACTATCGTAAAGGTTCCCGCGCCGCGCCTTTGTACTGTCGTAAGGACAAAATTTTGCTATAAGCTCATATTAACTTTTAATTATTTAAAAGAACATTTTTAGATAAAAATAAAATGTGATACTGTATAATCGATGTCTGTAAAAGGTTAGAAATATTACTTGATATTAATTTAATAAATTCTCTTTTAAACGAATTTTTTTTAAAATTTTTTGTTCTAGATTAAAACATATAAAATTCGTTATATTTTGATAAAATGATTTTTTTCAAATAATAAACCGGGAAGGTCGTTATATCGAATTTTAATATTTTAAATAAAAAAGCCATTTTCTTTTTTTTTTTTGTCTTAAATTATTCATAGTTTTGAGATAGAAAATTTAATATCAACAAACAAAACTTTAAAATTCATATGGATAATATCTTTGTTTGTAATTTGAAAAAATTATGAAACTCGAAATAATATATTTTGAGCTTTGAAGAAT